TATTATGGAATTTAAGAAAGAAAAGTGAAATATTGAAATACATTTATATAATATTATCTTTTTAATTAAAATGAACTCAAAGAAAAATCTTTTGAAGAAGATTTAAAGACCAAAACAAATACAAAAGTTGATATACAAAAATATCGATTGAGACTTATTTATTAAGTTATAAGCAATTTAAATTTGGAGATAGAATAAAGCTATCTCATATTTAATCCAAACTTCAATTGCTTATAATATAATAAATAAATCTTAATCGATATTTTTAAATTGTTTCTCTAGAAATTCATCAAAGATATATTAATATACCAATATATTAATATATTCTACTATAGGAGAGACTTAATTAATATTAATTAACAAATGAATTTGTATTAACTAACAAATGAATATAAGAAAATATAACATATTACATTTATTAAAAAGAAATTGTTAATATCTAATGGAGAAAGTGTAAACAAGTATTCAATATAATGGAGTATCAATATAATGGAGAACTCTCCTATAACAAAATATGTCTTTAGCTTAAATAAAATTAGAATAATTGTTTGTGTTTTTTCTAAGAATTTAGATATGACATTTTAATTAAAAAGGATATAATAATAATAATTTATATATAAAGATATTATCCTTTTTTATTATTTTTATTTTCTGATTTGTTATTTTTTATTTTTTATTCCCCTCAATATTTATAAAATATTTAATTTTTATTTTAAAGAGCTCATTGTTATATAAAGAAAATCAATGTGTACAACACAGAGGAAATTACAAAAAAAAATGGTAATAATAAATTATTTTGATCATATCGATTAAAACTATTTTATAATTATTATAACTATTTCACATCGATATAATGTTAATCCTTTTCTATTTTGTTACTTCTATTTTAAAATATTTTCAAATGATTTTCAGATAATAAAAATACTTGGAAATAATCACTATTTTAAAAACAACACTATTCTATGCTCTGTATATTAGCCCTTTTCTATTACATTTTATCTTCTTCGTATTAAATGCTCGCTGTTCTACAGTCCTTCCAAGCTTATTTTTTCAAATTATAGTAAATAACACATACTTGGATATTATTATATACAGATTATTATATACAGATATATTAGATGAATTTTCAATTCTAAAAATTTTCTTCTTTTTTTTTAATTTTTCTTCCTTTATTGGATATAAGCATGATTTTCGATAAATTCACTGAATATTTTAATCTTTTAAAAGCAGCTTTTAAGCAGTATATATAGTGCAAATAATACAAAATTAAAATTATTTTGTTAATTAATAAATTCAATTTACGATATAAAATATAAATATAATATAAATATTCTTGTGCATAATTTGAATTTTTAAATATTATTTTATCCAGATCTATACATTAATTTAAAAAAAAATTAAATAATATATTTATATTTATTATTTTAATATATTTAATATATTTTAATATATTTATGAAATATTTTATTAAGAAAATTTGAATAAAATTTAATATATTCGTGTACAATTTCAATTTAAATATTAGATAAAAAAAAATTATTACTATTTGATAAATATTTAGTAGATATAGTGCCATGTTAAGATATCTATATTCCACAAATACAATTATTACTTCGCTTTGATTCGAAAAATATACATCGGGTTGCAATTATGGTAGTTATGGAAGAGCAGCATGGATAGATTGTAGAATAGAGAGTAATGTTTTAGATGTGAAGAGAATTGATAACACGTTTATTTTATCAGGGGAAACTGTGACGAGCCAACTCAGCCCAACCAGTCCAAACGAAGACAGTTCAGGCGAATCCCGCCCAGACAAACCTCGATTACAACGCTCTATGGGTCAAAGCAAGAAGACTTTCCGATTGAGAAAGAGTCGAAGAAGTCACGTAGAAGTAATGACATACATATACTTATAGAAATAATAGAATATTGACTTAATAATAGAAATAAATTTAAATCTAATTTTTAAATTCGTAAAATTCAAAATTTTGCAAGGAATTCTGAAATTGAGAACATTTACTTTTTTCTTATTTTTTTAAAGAAATATTATTTCATCAAAAGTAAAATTTTAATAAATTTTAATTAATTTTTCAAATTTTTCAAATTCAAATTCATACAGGTAGCTAATAATAATAATTTCTATCTTTTTTAGTTTTTTCTCCCAATATAAATTATAAATTTAAATTCAATTGGATTATTATTATGCGAATTTGAATTTTATCATCACAATATTTTCACTAATTCATTATGCAAATTTCTTATCTTTAATTTTAAAAATAAAATTTATTGAAATTATAGTTTTGAACGAAATAAATGTTCGAGATTTCCTGATTTACAAAATTTTGAAAAAATTTTAAGTTTTGTTTTCGATCGATCATTCCTATTTCGACATTAAAAACCAAAATCAAATCTTATCAATATTTGTTTCTACAAATTTCTCCCATGTGATTTGACATTGCATTGAATATATTGCCAAATCTATTAAAATTGTATAATGACTCAAAAATTTACTCTACAGGCAGTGCAAGTGAAATCAGAACAAAGTAACAATGTATCACAACCGCAAACTTCTCAACCATCGATACTAACGCCACCTACGCCAGTAATGGAACCATCGAGCTTCAGTATCCCTTCCGACTCGTCGTCCATTCGTTCGAGAAGAAGTTCCTCCATTCGTCAATCTGATTGCGAGAAAGGTGGTAATCTGCTCAACGATCAACAACTTCACGCCACGCTTCATTACCACCATCACCATCATCATCATCATCACCATCATCTTCATTTCCAAACATCGGACGCCTCGTGGGACGAGGATACATCCAGTACATCCGGTTATCGTGAATCGTACAGTATGCAATTGGTGTCGTTAGAGAGCAGCAACAATAACACACGTCCAATTCAAGCACCGCCTTTGGCGTCGCCAGATTTGAACGATATGCCCTCGACTAGTAGCACTACGACTCACGTTTTCGAAGGAAGCTCGCCTGATTGCTCCATAAATGGTAGCGGGGGAGAGAAAACCGCTCTATTGACGGCTAGTCAGAGAACAACCTCTCAACATTCCCTGCTCATGGTTTTTCCGAATCAAGACGAAGATACGTTGATATAGGCTTGTTATGAGTATCTATATATATTATACACGAGGAGACTGATTAGAAACATAATCTCTAATTGCTAACGAAGTATCAGTAATAGGGAGAAGTTAGATAAAAGTTTGTTTGGTTTCTTTACATGAAGGAATATATTTTTGTTATTGTTAAATTATATTTTGAATAGGATTTTGTAAAATATATGAAATATGTTGAACTATACAAAGACAATGTCATTTGACTGTATTATTTGACTGTATATATTTGACTGTAATTAATCAAATTATAATTGAACAAAAATTATCTTCCATTGTAATAATATTTTATAAATTGTTGAAAATCTAAATTTAATAAAAAATTTGTTTAAAAATATTTTTAAAAGAAAATAAAAAATTAATTTCAAAATCTTTATGACATCTCAAAAATTAATCTTGCAAAAGAAATAAATCATTTAAATCTGGAAGATTGGATGCAAGTTTTTTTCTCTGTCAAAAAATAATAATATAATTTTTTTGTTCCTAATTTAGAATTAAATGAAATAATCATTTTTATGTATTATTTGTATATATGTATGTATTATTTACAACTTCAATCGTTTGTATTTCAATCTAAAATATGTATCTGTTTTATATATTTATTTATCGATAGGAAAAAATTTTATTTTTTTCCAAATGCACGATGAACATGTAACGTGAAGCGTTAGCAATTAAAGGTTGAATCGAAACACGATAACGTAGAGAATTTCGTAACGTAGATCGATTACGAATTAACGAAAAATTTAATATACAGTGTTCAGAGTTTTCAATAATGATAATAATGTTCTCCGTTGACCGGAAAGACCAATTAAAGATACATATGTTGAGAGTCTAAGCCTCGTGGTCACGAAATATGTACTTTGTAATACTTCGACGAGCGTAATGAAATTACCGACCACGTGGATGATTAGGCCTAAATATTTGTATGTCGACGACTCTGTAAAAAAAAAAAAAAAAAATGAGACAAATAC